AGAACGCCAAACAGTCACAACCAACGTAAATCTATACCTAGACACATAATAATTAGAATTGCAGACATACAACATAAAAACAGAATACTAAAAGCTGTTAGAGAAAAGACTCACCTATCAAGGAAAACCCATCAGAATCACTTTGTAGCACAGACTTTTCAGTGCAAACCCTCAAGTTAAGACGATCTTGGAGTAAAGTATTCCAATCCCTTAAAGAAAACCACTTTTAACCCAGACTGATGCATCCAGAAAAACTATCTTTCAAATTTAATGGAAAAACAAGATACTTCCATGAAAAAGAACAACTGAAGAAATTCATGTCCACCAAACCAACTCTAGAAAGAATGCTGAAAGACATACTAGAGACAAAGATAACCACAATCTCTAGAACAACAGCAGAAAGACACCACCAGGCAGGGCAAGAAATTAAACAAGGGGGTAAAGCATAAAACCAACCACAGAAACATAACATGACAAAGTTGAGTCAGTACATATCAGTTACATCCATAAATGTAAATGGCCTCCACTCCCCTATCAAAAGAAATAGGTTGACAGAATGGATCAAGAAACAGGATTCCACAATATGCTGTATACAAGAAACATAAGTGACTCAAAAGGAAACTTATAGATTAAAAGTCAAAAGATGGAAAACAATATTCCATGCAACAGAAACCAGAAAAAAACAGGGGTAGCTATTCTGTTTGCAGCCAATGTGAACTTCAAACCTAAAATGATTAAAAGAGATAAAGAAGGTCACTTCATACTTGTTGATGGAAAACTTCAAGAAGAACAAACAATTATACATGCACCAAATACAGGAGCACCCAACTATATAAAACAAATACTAATGGACATGAAAGATCAAATACACAAGAATACAAATTATAATAGGAGACCTTAACACTCCACTGTCACAAAGAGATAGATCAACTAGACAAAAAGTCAGCAAAGAAATAACAGAACTGAATCATATCTGTGAGCAAATGGGCTTAGTAGATGTTTACAGAGTATTCCACCCAACCACATCAGAATATATATATTCTTCTTAACTGAACATGGGACATTCTCCAAAATAGACCATATATTAACCCATAAAACATTCTTAAGTAAATGCAAAGGGATTGAAATATCCCTTGCATAATATCTGATCATAGTGCACTGAAATTGGAAATTAATGGCAAAAGAAATTACAAAAGCGGCATAAGTACATGGAAATTAAATAACAATCTTATGAACAAACAATGGGCTACAGGTGAAATTAAAAAAGAAATAAAGCAATACCTACAATTCAATGAAAATACAGATACAACATACCATAACCTGTGGGATGCAATGAAAGTGGTCTTAAGAGGAAAATATATAGCAATAAATTGTCACATCAAGAAACAATAAATTTTCACAGCAATAAATTGTCACATTGAGAAAATGGAGTGAGCACAAATAACCTGATGCTAGCTCTCAAGCTCCTAGAAAAGAGCAAGTCAAACCCAAAGCTCAGAGAAGAGAGGAAATTGTAAAGATCAGAGCAGAAATCAATGTAATTGAAACTTAAAAAAAAAAAAAAAACACACAAGAATTAATGAATGGAAGAGCTGTTTTTTTTTTGAGAGAATAAACAAAATTGATAAAACTCTAGCCAACCTTATTAAGAAAAAAAACACACAAACTCAAATTCACACAATAAGGACTGAAAAGAGAAATCACTACAAAAATCCCATGGAAATTCAAAAGATCATGAATGCCTACTTTGAAAATTTCTACTCACATAGGTGGAAAACACGAAGGAAATGGACAAATTTCTAGAATCATATGAACTACCAAAGCTCAACCAAGAAGATATAAAAATTTTGAATAACCCAATATCAGCTATTGAAATTGAAAACATTTTTAAAAACTTACCAACCAAGAAAACCCCAGGTCCTGGAGGGTTCACGGCTGAATTCTACAAGAAATTTAGAAAAGAGCTGACTCCACTACTCCTCAATGAAATCAAAAGAGAAGCAATCCTCCCTAACTCATTCCTAAAGGCAAGTATCATTCTGCTACCAAAATCAGAGAAAGACCCAACCAAAAAGGAAAACTATAGGCCAATCTCACCAATGAACATTGATGCAAAGATTCTCAATAAAATACTGGCAAATAGAATGTAGCAAATCATCAAGAAGATAATACACCATGACCAAGCGGGATTTATTTCAGGAATGCAGGAAGGTTTAACATACGCAAATTAATAAATGTAATACACCACATCAACAGAGCCAAAAAAAACAAAAAAAAGAAAAAAAAAACCCACATGATCATCTCAATAGACACAGAAAAAGCTTTTGTTAAAGTCTAACGCTTGTTCATGATAAAAACCCTACAGAAACTTGGAACAGATGGTATCTACCTCATTCTTATAAAGGCCATTTATGACAAACCAACAGCCAACATTATACTAAATGGACAGAAACTGAAAGCCTTCACTCTAAAATCAGGAACGACACAAGGATGTCCACTATCACCATTCCTATTCAATATGGTTCTTGAAATATTAGCCAGAGCAATCAGACAAGAGAGAGAAATAAAAGGAATAAGCAAGGAAAGAAAGAATTTAAATTACTATTATTTGCTGATGACACGATACTTTATATAGAACACCCAAAAAACTCCATTAAAAAACTACTAGAGGTAATAAATGATAGAATTGTGGCGCGGCTGAAAAGATAAGTATGACATATAAATGACCTTTATTTTAAGAAATGTGGAGAGAGACACCCCAACCCCCTGGGGTCTGGCATCTCCACAGGGTCTGCGATCTCTGGGTCAGGATCTTTCCTACTGACGAGGACACGTGGAGTGGGGGCATACATGTAGCTTAAGTTTGGGGTGGAGCCTGAGGGGGCATTAGGGATGCACAGGAGCTCATTGCTATTCATTTCGTGCCAGATGCAAATTCCTAGGGGTGGGGAAGATAGAGCTCCTTAGTTTTGCCACTAAGGCTTTACCGGCTACAGTGTCCTGTCTGGGCCAAAAGCCTTTCAAATAACAAATTCAGCAGCATAGCTGGATACAAAGTCAGCACTCAAAAAATCAATAGCATTCCTGTACACAAGCAAAAAACTCACTGAGAGAGAAATTATGGAAATACCACCTTTCACAATAGCACCTAAAAAAATGAAACATCTCTCAATCCCTGGTACTGATAAAAAGGAAAAAGACAAAAGAAAAAAAAAAATGAAACATCTAAGAATCAACCTAATCAAGACAGTAAAAGATCTATATGCTGAAAATTATACTACTCTAAAAAAAGGAGATTGAAGATGATATCGGAAAATGAAAGGATATTCCTGCTCTTGGTTAGGTAGAGCCAACATTGTGAAAATGGCCATACTCCCAAAACTGTTATACAGATTTAATGCAATCCCAATCAAAATACCATTGACATACCTCACAGATTTAGAGAAAACACTCCTAAAATTCATTTGGAAACAGAAGAAACCTAGAATTGCAAAGGCAATTCTGGGCAACAAAGGCAAGGCAGGAGGCATCTTAATTCCTGACTTGAAATTATACTACAAAGTGATAAAATCAGCATGGTAGTGGCAAAGAAATAGACCTGAGGATCAATGGAACAGATTAGAAGATGCAAACACAACTACAAAGACAGCCACCTGATATTTGACAAAGGACCTAAACATGTTCACTGGAAAAAGGATAGCCTCTTTAATACAGGAAACAGAAAATCATTAACATAGGAATAAACATTAAGATTACCCCAACAGAAAACAGTCCTCCTTTCCTTTGACATACTAACCGAGTAACATATAGTAACTATCAGAAATTTCACTATGTTCTTAAACTTAGGTTACATTTTAGAAAAATGTAAAAAAATAAATGTTGCGTTCCATGACTGAAATTTCAGTTTTTATTACAAAATGAATTATCTTAAATGTATTTTGCAACTGTTTTTAAGAAACTTTTTTTTTTTGTCTTTTTCCTTTTTATCGGTACTGGGGATCGAACTCACGACTGCCTGCTTGCAAGGCAGGTGCTTATGCCGCTGAGCTAAATCCTCAGCCCAAGAAATCATTTTAATAGAAGAAATGACCCTTAAACTACTCAACATTGTACGAGAAAAAAACATTTAAATAACATTTGAAAGATAATAAATAAGAACGCCTACCAATAAACAGTAAACCAACAAAAGAAACATATTAAGCCCATATTAAGCTGCCCATATACTTCCCATGTAAATTTAGAATTTTTTTTTTTTTTTTTTTTTTTTTTTTTTTTGGTCTTTTTCCTTTTTGTTGGTACCAGGGATCGAACTCATGACTGTCTGCTTGCAGGGCAGGCGCTTATGCCGCTAAGCTAAATCTCCAGCCCCTAAATTTAGAATTTAACCTAAGTGTCAGAAAACAGAGGAAAATACAGCATATGCAATTAATGGAAAAATAATTCAAAGAATTTACACTGAAATTCAGAAGGTTAGCTTAATAATCTCATTTACAGAATGGAATGAACACTCCATCTGTATTCATGAATACAAATAGGAATATATCCTGGTATTATGAACCTGAGCTCAGACGTAAAAATTAGTAAGGCAAGAGCAGTTAACCACACCCTCGCCACTTACAATTTTTCAGGTAAATCACAGCCAAATGCTTAAAAATAAAAAGCAAGCATTTGGTCATCCCCCTTCTCCTCAGAGAGCTGTCAAAAGTGTGGGAGGAAGGCACCTCGCAAACCCACCGGGAGTAGGCGCAGAGCAACCGCAGGTGAGGGCATGGCCCCGCCCGGGGTTCACTCGCGACCTTCAGGGAAGCGCTCCCGGCCACCACAGCCCCTCGCCCACGGGGAGCCGCACCTCCTGCACCCCGCCAGGCAGCGTCCCGCCCCACCGACCACGGAGCCTACGGCCTCCCAGCGTCGAGGTAGCTCCTCCCGGGCTCCCCGGCCGCACCCCCCCCCCGCGCCCCACCCCAGCGGGCGCCGAACGCTCACCTGGCCTCCAGCTCCGGCCCCCCTCCCACCAAATCGCGGCCCGGGTCCGACAGGTCACCTGAGGCGTGGAGGGGGAGGGGCAGGAATGATGCCGGAGCCGCCTCCTTTCTCCTCCGCCGCCCGCCGCTGCCGCGGCCAGGCCAGGCGTCCTCGGCCGTCGCCCCTTCCTCACGGTCTCGCGGTCGCGCTGCCTGGCCCTCGCCCCGACTGCACAGACACCGACTCCCACACGCCGCTAGGCCTCAGCCCCTCACTCGCGTGCCGCTCGCTCTCGCGGGCGCGCGACCCCGCTCACACACAACGCGTGAGACGCCAGCGGCCGCAGGGACTGTGCGGGGAGGGGCGGGGCCTGCAGGGCGCGCGGGCTTTCGCGCACCTGCGCGGAGACCGGTCCTCCGCCTCAGGAGTGAGAGCCGCGCTTCCCCTCCGCTCTTAAGCCGTTCTCTCTGAGGAGCGGGCGTCGGTGATGGTCTGGGCCTAGCTGAAAACGCCGAGATGAGTGAGATGGGTCCGTGTTAGGCGCACCCCTCGTCTCGCCTTCCCTCTCGGACTTTGAACCAAGGCCCGAGCACCAGAGCTCCCCGCGTACAGGGGTCCCTGCCTTTCTTCCGGCCACAGTCCGGGTTGCCCTTCCCGGGTCTGTCCCCTCACCAGAAGGCAGGGATCTGGGGACAAAGATCGTGGATATCTGAAAGGCTTCCCGCGTATGCAGTAAAGACAATGCCTCCATGTGTGGAGAAGCAGTTTTGAGCTCTTTGGAGAATCTTGGGGTTGAGCAGGTTGAAAAATAACAGACCAAAGGGCAGGGTGGATGGAACTAGCTCTGCCCCTTAGAAAGCAGTGCAGTCCCTGGGCAAGTTACTTAACTTCCTCTTCGCCTTTGTTACGAAGAGATAAAAGTGTAACCCAGGGCTGCTATGGAAATGAAACAAGAGGGTACACTAAAGAATCGCGATGAATTTTTAAACTATATGAAAATGAAATCCCAGTCCAAAAGAGGTTTAGAAAATGACCATATTCGACTACTTTTTTCTAGGTGGTAAGTAAAGCCAAAAGTGTTTGATTGGCTTTATTCTGTTTTGTTTGATTTTATTATGTCTGAGAGTATGGGCAGCTATTCTGAAGGTATCAAGAGGTATTATGGTAGCCATTGTTGATTTACTATTATCATGTTTTGAAGTTCTGTTTTGCTTTCATTGTCTTGTTTTGATTTACTTTATTCTTTTGTACTTTGTGCGGTTTTCTTTCTTTTTTTTAAAAAAAAAAAGTGGTGGATGCCTTTCTTCTTTACAGGAAGTTTCATTTCCAGATGATTTTAGGCAATAGAAAATCCGGGTGGATTGTCATGTGTTCAATGCCAGTAAGACCCTGTTTCAAGGAAAAAAAAAAAAGGAAAGGAAAGAAAAAGACTTTGTAAAGTTACAGTAACAAAGTGCAGTGATCATGGTTGTACATACCTATAATCCCAGCAGTTGGAAGGCTGAGGCAGGAGGATTACTGCAAGCTCCAAGCCAGCCTTTGTCACATGGTAAGTTCAAGGCCAACCTGGACTATGATGGGATGTCTCAAAGAATGAAAGAGGAATAAACGAAACAGGAGAAAATGCCCCAAAATACACCCCATAATCTGATGTATGATTTACCAGTCAAGTTGCATAACTTTAATGTGTATAATGACTCCAACAGACCAGACTCTGTCATCTGTGCCATGACACCAACCAAAGAGATGGGCAGGAAAGGAGTTTTATCTGCATGGCCACCCTGGGAAGCCCAGAAAAAGAGGACCATGATGTCTTGAAGATCTGATGGTTACCTGGGGGCTTTATGGAAAAGGGGACAAAAGCAAGGGTCAAGGGTCTGTCTAGTTGGCAGCAGAGAATCCTAGTTGCAAGTGCTGGGCTGGGAGATGTGGGTCTCAGGATTGGCTGGGACAGGTCCTGGGAGAGCCATCATTGCATAAGGGTGATTCAGTTCCTAACCTAAGACCATAGTTCCCGCTTTGGGGAGCAGCCTCAGGTCCTGTCATGCCATAACTGATCCTGCTTGGGCTGTGAGGAGACTCCAGATCTGGGGGGCAGGCTACCTGCATGCTGGGTGTGTGCAGGAACTCAATGTGAGGGAAAGGCCTCATGAGGGTGACTCACATATAAGTCCCTAGGGTGCCCAGGCAGGTAATTTGTAGTCTCTGCTGAGGGTGGAGGATGAATGAGAATACAATTTAAAGAGGGGTGGAAGCTGAGGGAGTAGCCCAGTGGCATAGTGTGGAGGTAGTGCTAACAGGCCTCAGGCTTCAGTCTCTAGGAGCCAGAGAGAGACAGAGACAGAGACACAGACACAAAGTGAGACAGAATTAGAGAGAGAAAAACAGACAGATACACACAGAGAGTGTCAGAGAGAGAAACAGAGATAGACAGAGACACACAGAGATAGAGACAGAGACAGAGATGGCTGAGACCTGAACCTTGAAAATCACCAAGAGTAAACAGAAGACAACTAAAAAGAAGCATCAGAATGATACAGGGGAGCTATTTAGATTTTTGTTGTTGAAGATTCTATTTTAGGAACTTCAGTGTAATCCTGATTCTGCATCAAACATTTTAGATTTGCATTAACAAGGAATATGGGAGTAACTGCAAGTTATCATCAGAAAATCACTGCCATTAAAAATTTTACATGAGGGGCTGGGGATTTAGCTCAGCGGCATAAGCTCTTGCCTTGCAAGCAGGCAGTCGTGAGTTCGATCCCTGGTACCGATAAAAAACCGAAAAAGCAAAAAAAAAAAAAAAATTTTACATGAAGAATGTAATGAGTCAGAAGTGCCATAAATATGTGTGTGTGTATATATATATATATAATATATTTATGTTATATATACATAAATATTTTTTTCTTTGAAACAGAATCTTGTTCTGCAGTTCATACTAAACTTGAACTCATTTTATAGCCCAGGCTGACTTAAAACTTGCAGCAATCCTTCTGCCTCCGTTTCTGAAAGGCTGTAATTACAGGCATGTGCCACCAAACATGGCCCTAGAAGGGCTAATATTGAAGATTTGAATTCTGTTTTTCATGCAGTGATCTTGCCCTATATCCCAGCTTTTAGCATAGCTCTTCCCCAATACCTCTGCTTTGGGTTGGTCCATTTCCTTTCTTTCCAATCTTGTACAATAGTTCAGCTTTTCATATTGCTTCCTTAAAACTTTATCTTCCACCATTTCCAGTTGATTAAATTTCTGAAAGTTTATGTCTCATAAATGGGAAGGTACTGTTTCAAGTCTGCGTTTCGATTCAGTTGAGCATACTTCTTGAGTTCTCAATGCACTGAACCATTATGTTGGCAAGGACTGAGTAAGACTCAGCCTCCACCACCAGGGAATTTACAGCCTAACAGAGAATGAGATAAACCCCATAACAGATGACTAAAGATGATGATGAGACTGCAAAATAAATGAGTCAATTCAGGAGAGAGAATGATCGACTTTTCAAAAGCATTGGGGGTCAGATGAGGTTTTTGGGAGGATATGACATCAAAATTGGACCCGATGGTCAAAGTTTTCCCCCACCCAAATGTCCTGAGGACAAATGTCTGTGGGTATCTAGGGTCCTTTTGCCTTTGGTCTTTACGGTTTCATGGCTTCCTGGCTTGACAGGCACCATTCCCTCCTTCCCACCCCCTCGAACCGTCCATCTTTCCCTTCCTATTATAGGAATTTTTGTGTTTAGCCCCTGAATTTAATTTAGTGGATCAGACATAGTCAAATTTCTGTACATTTGCCTGGAAGCTTTCAACTAATGGGTGTATTCTTTACAGGCAAAAACAGATGAAGAAAGCCAGTTTGCTGTCTCTCACCTCATCTTCCCTTTGCATTGGACTCATTTCCCACAGAACATTTCTTTCTAAACTGGTTATCCATTTCTTGTATTGTCAGATCCCTACCTCCGTCTGAGAGACAGCACAATCATCATGGCAGTAGTTCAAAACTGTGCCATGATAATGTATAACTCCTTTTTCCCAGAAGTCCCTATAGCTTCTTCCTCCCAAAGTCTTTGCCAAAGCTCGCGTGTGTAAAGATTTACCCAATCCCCTGTACTCTCACAAAATAAATCAGCTCACATCAGTCCCCAGAGTCCTATCCCCATCGGAGCCTATATCAGGCAGAACCTGCCCTTTGTCTGCAGAGAGCCACCTCAGCCTCCTTTGTGGTGACTCCTTCCATGCCCTCACTAACCTCTTTTCCTGTCTAGTTGCCTCCTCTCTTTTAACATTCTGTGCTGCTCTAGATTGAGTACTCAACCAGTTAGTGCTGTGACTCCAGCAGTCAGAGGCTATCTGCCTCCTGGGGGGTCTGTCCCCCAGTCTAAGTCCCCACCCTGGTCTATGGACCTTCCTTTCTGTTCCTCCTTCTCCCTCTCTCTCTCTCTCTGTCTCTTTTTCTGGGACTAGGGACTCCTCTACCTTGCCATTTCTAGCCAACATCCAACACTGGGCCTTCATCTTGTCAGGTCCAAGGTGAGCCTCCCCTCTACATCCTTTGGGATTTCCTCTTTGTCTTCTCTGGTGATGACTGGTGAATTCATTGTTGGTACTACTCTACGTTCTTTGAGGGACTCCTGGTTGTGTCTCACCAGAGGGTGATGATTCTCTGTTGACTCACAACCCTTCCAACCCCTGGCTCACTTTTCTAATTTGAAAACATGAGTAATAATCATTACCTGACAAAACCACTCCTCTGGGCTGCACTTAGATGCACTTAGGCTAAAACAAACTCAGGCCAAAGAGGCTAACATTAAGAGATTTTATTTTATTTTATTTTTTGTCTTTTCCTTTTTTATTGGTACCAGGGATCAAACTCACGACCATACACTTCGCTAGGCAGGCACTTATGCCACTGAGCTAAATCCCTAACCCCCCATTAAGAGATTTTCATAACTTTTACTGCTGACACGGCAAATGGGGGTAAATACTTTTTGTCCAAATGTTCTTTTTTTTTTTGTCTTTTTGAGACAGGGTCTCTCTGTGCAATTCAGGCTGGCCTTGAGCTCTCTTTGTAGCCTAGGCTGGTCTCAGACTCCCAATGATCCTCCTACCTCAGCCTCCTGAGTGCTGGGATTACAAGCATGAGCCACCACGCCCAGCTGTCCAAATGTTCTTATAGTTGCAGGCATGCCCTGACCTAATCCAAACCTGCAAGGCCTCCCAAATTCTTTTGGATCACTTCACAGGTTCTCTTCCTTTATCAGCTTGCCATAGTGACTCTTCCTCTTCTTGTTTCTCAGACCCCATAGACAAAACACCTCCACCATAACTCATGCAGAAACCCTCCTCCCACCTTCTTTCTCCTTCTTCTTATCTCAAAGTCACTCTCAGAGGACCACACCACTGTGAGCTCCTCCTCTGTTTACCCAACTCTGCCCCCTCCTCTCTCTCTCTGCCCATCATACTTGATCCCGCAGTCTGCTAAACTCCCATATTATTTCCCAAGCAGCACCAAACATTCAGACTAAATTCAAAATGTCAGACCTTGGTCCTCAATCCCCCCAGGAAGATCTCTTATATATGGCTTGCCATGTCTTTAAGGATAGACAAAAACAACAAATGTAGGATGACCTTTAAAAAGTTACATTCCAGGATGAGTTGCATTCCAAGCTAAAACTCCAAGGCCAATTTATGGACATGGCAGCTGCAGCTCAGGGCTCAAGATAAAACACAGGCTGGAGGAAAAAAAAAACCCCTAAAAACCTATTATCCCCTATCAGGCTTCAAGTGCGGCAGAAAAACAACACAGGACACAAGCCTGCCCTGATCTGCAACCATGACTGGGAATTGGACCCATCTATAACCAAGAGCACCACTGGAAGTTCATCTGTCCTGTCTGCCAGAGAGCAGGTAAGTCATCACCTTCCCCTCCCTCACAGGATAAGACACTGCTGCCTTGGACTCACCACTGGCTCATCTGCTGGGCTTCACCAATGAAGAGGATCGATGGGGCTCAGGGTTACGGCCTCACCGAGGTATCTCTCTTAGAGCCCTAAGTCTTGCTGCATGTCTCAGGTAAAACTTTCTCTTTCCTTGTTGACATGTTAGCCACCCATAATGTTCTTTCTGAGGTTTAAGACCCATGTTCCCAATCTGCAGTCTCTGCTGTGGGAGTTGACAGCCAGTGTACATGACCTCTGCAGACAAAACCTACTCCCTGCAGACACCAAACCCTTTCTTTACACACAGCTGTCCTGTCCTGTACCTCTTCTTTTTGATAAAAATTATACCCCAAAAAACTCAATTTCTTTTAATCTCTCTCCTCTCCCGATGGCTTTCATACTCCAGTCCCAACCATCACACACCACTGACTCAGCCTCTTCCCTTCCATCCCCCACTCATGGACCCTACAGTATAAGACACCTCCAATCCCACTGATGCCACCCATATTACTCCACTGCTAATTCGTCTCAAATACCCCACAGTCTTCCCTTCTGTTCCCCAATACCCAATAGCTCCTAAACATCAACAGGGACTCAAACCTATTATCTGCTACTTGTTAATTAATGGGTTTCTAAAAGTCACTACTTGCCTTATGATACTCCTAGTCTCCCTGTCCTCAAATACAACAGCTCGTATCACTTAATGCAAGATCCCAGAGCTATTATCAGTACAATAGTGTCAATTCACCTGGTGGTGCCAAACACTTATACTATGCTGTCTCATATTCCTCCATATACCTCTCACTTTCCTGTATTAGACTTAAAAATACATTTTTCACTATTCCCTTATATCCACAATGCCAAGACCTTTTCATGTTTATATGGACGGATTCAGATACTTTTTGGTCCACTCAACTAACAGACAGTGCTATTTCAGGAATTCAGAGACAGCCCTCACTTCTTTAGCCAAGCCTTAGCCAATAATCTTCGACTATAAATCTACAACCTAGTACACTCATTCAATACATAGATGACCATCTACTCTTGCCCCTCTCCCCCAGTGCCACAATAACACAACACCCAGCTGCTTTACTCAACTTTCTCTGTAGTAGAAGATACAAGGTCTTTTGCTCCAAAACTCAAATTGCCTCACCAAAGGTCAAATACTTAGGCCTCATGCTTACACTCACCACTCTGTCCAGAACCTCTGACCAAAAGACTCCTTTGTGACATATAGACAATGATCATAAAACAATGAATATTATCCTTCTTAGGCCTATCAAACTTTTTTCACCTTTGGATCTCCAACTTTGCTTCCTTAGCTCAGCCACTATACGTAGCCTCTAAAGGGCTATTTCAGAGCCTCTAGACCCTACTATGCCAATTAACATTCCCTTCACAAAGCTTAAGGAGGTCCTCTTTAGAGCCCCTGCGCTTACACTTCCTAATTCTAGTATACCTTTTATTCTATACACTATAACAGATAAAGATGATGGGATGGGAGTACTGGGACATAGTAAAAGACTTTCATTCCAGGCCGTAGCCTACCTCTCAAAACAGCTAAGTTAGGGATGGCCTCCCTGCCTTCAGGCAATAACAGTGACAGCCATCCAGACATAAGAAGCCAAAAAGTTCACTTTAAGACCGACAATCACAGTCTACTCAACACAAAGTCTAGTCAATCTAATTTCTCACAGGACACTCCCAGCTCTAATGACCCTATCACAGCTACAACAAGAATATCTAAGTCTAATATACGACCCCACTGTCACAGTCTCAACCAGTAACACACTCAATCCAGCCACACTATTGCCCACTCCTACAACAGACACAAAGATAAGTCCTCTACATGACTGCGCAGATGTTCTCCAACTAACTCATACTTCCTTCCCACATATACATGATTCTTCTCTCTCTACTGCTATTGATTATAGTTCAACAAGCACCACCAGGATCAAAACAGCAAGATATTCTATAGTTTACAGGTCAAAAGTGATAGAGGCAAATCCATTACCTCCAGGAACTTCCTCACAAAAGACAAAACTCATGGCCTTGACACGAGCCCTCACACTAGCAAAAAGTAAAATCATTAACAAATATACTGCTTTAGGATATCATCCTCAGGTTTGGACTTCCTCAAAATATATACAATTTGATAATGGCCTGGCCTTCATTTCTCAGTATCACTTAAAAACTGCACATCCCATACCATCCACAGTCCTCAGGAAAAGTAAAAAAGACAAATGGGCTCATCAAGACTCACCTAACCAAACTTATTCTGCAACTACATCAGCCATGACCAAAACTCCTACTTCTAGCCCTTAGAAAACTCCTACTCAGTCAAGCCCCTTTGACGTTATGTACAGTAGACTGTCTTATAAAACTTGCCTTCACCTTCTAATCTTCTTCCCTTAGCTGACCACATTCAAGTTTTCTTGTTCCTCCAACACCTTCTTCAACAATACGCAGATCTTTGCCTGCCTCAACCTTCCAAGGGACACACACCAGATCCTCCTTTATTATTAAAATTCCTAAACCCACAGGTTCAACTTCAACTCTTCAACCTAAGTAAAACGGACCTCATCTGGTATACATTGCAACTCCAACTGTGGTAAAGGTAGAGGGATTCCCATGCTGGTTTCACATCACCCAGATGAAGAGATAACATCTGCTTCCCAGTAATTTCAATCCCAAACACACTAAAGGAACTTTATGGACCTCACATCCAATAGCTCCCACCCATCTCAGATTAACACAACACAAACGCTAATGCTTTGCTACCCTACCTGGTTTTGGCCTATATACGGCTCTATGCTTCTCTTCCTCACAGGTGCTCTAACACTCAAAAATTACCCCTCCCCATTACCCCATTCTCCGAAGGCTTACAGTTATCACACTGTTCATTTTAATAATCTTACTGTTTACATGCCTCAATTGCCTTCTCTCCCTCAGTCTATTCCTTCACCTTACCCTACAACACTCAGACGCCCCAAAATACCAATTCTACCTGACTAAACATGGGGGAGCAGCAGGTCCTTCCCCCACATAACTATTGCTCAAACCAATTAGACGTTAGGACCTCTAATATTTGATTTCCCTTGGAGAGTGCTCACCATTAAAGGTTACTATAATGGACAACCTATGTATGCAACCTATGCTCTCAATTTTATCTCTGCCCTAAAAATCCAAACTATGTACCAGGTTTTGACCATTCCAGTTTTTATTGTCCCCATTGAGGATGTAAGTACATAAGATACAATAATCTTCAATTTTGGACAAATCATGATGACTACATCTGCATAAACATAATTATCACATGTATATTCTGCACAGAGGTCTTACATGTTCACATAAAGAAAAATCTAAAAACATTTCTACTACTTCTATGCAGTCAAACATGGGGTTTTCATCTGTATGTCATGTCTGCTCCTAAATCTATATTTATAACTCTTCACAAAAAATTGCATGGGTCCTCATATCTCAACTGTTGTGACAGATTTTTTTTTTGTACTGGGGCTCGAATTCACAACTTTGTACTTGCCAGGCAGGTGCTTATGTCACTGAACTAAACTGCTGGCTCACATCTCAACTCTTAACACCTTTTCCCCACTCTTAAGAAACAACCTCTTCCATACCTCAAGTTTTAAATACTTTTCAACCTGTACATGCTTTAAATATCTGAGATCCTACCTGCTTTGTCTACCCTATGAACAAAATCTCCATACGACATCTCCAATAAAACTAAACCAATCTCTATTCCAACAAAAACCTCAAACGAAAATTGTGGGGGCCTTACAATTGCCCCATCACAACTACAGCCTATAGACAACCCTGACAATTCACAAAATGTTCCTTAGGTAAAAAATCTAACTTCCTACAAAACATACATACTAATGACGTAAAAAGGCCAAACAATCTGTCCCTCAACAGGATAATTTTTGTCTGTGGACATAGGGCCTACACATGTCTTTCCTCCCTATGGTAGGGATCATGCACAGTGACTAATAACACCACATATCACTTTAAACACTCTTCACAAATCCTACACCAACATCTACAAGGCCTACCTCATCACACTATCACACATAAAGTGCCCATAGCACTTATTGTGACTGGGATAAGTATATTTTCTGCCATTGGTCAGGGAACAAGGAGATTAAAAACCAGCCTCACATATTATCAGATATCACATGACTTAAAAACAGCGATAAAATCAGTCTCCCAAAATGTTAATTCACTCCAAGATCAAATAAACTCACTGGCCATGGTAAATCTCCAATAAGGAAGGGCACTTGGTATTCTTACAGCAGGAAAAGGGGATACTATGCCATGTTGGGAAAAGAACTATTTTGTTAACCAATCGGGTATAATAAAAGACCAGGTACAAAACAAAAAAATTGGCAACTGATATATGAACTACCTCTTGGTCATCATGGTGGGGTTCCCTAGACACGTGGGCTCCCATCTTAAGGCCCATTATGTGTCCCCTAATTACTACAATACTTTTTTTGCTTCTTGTCCCCTGTGCCTTCAGGCTCTCGCAGCTTATCCAAGCCAGAACAAAAAATCCCTCAACCCCATTCCCTTCTTCTCTAGGCCCCCCAAAAAACGCACCCTCTCTGCAAGAAGCAGCCAGAGAGACTCCACAGCACCCCCTAACACCAAAGAGATGGAAATGTTAGATCCTCCCCACCCAGACAGCGCAATCATGTTGGCAGTAGTTAAAAACTGTGCAATGATAATGCATAACTCCTTTTTCCCAGAAGCCCCTATGGCTTTTACCTCCCAAAAGTCTGCCAAAGTTTGTGTGTGTAAAGATTTACCCAGTCCCCTGCACTCTCGCAAAATAAATCAGCTCGCATCAGTCCCCAGAGGCCTACCCCCATCAGAGCCCATATCAGACAGAACCTGCCCCTTGTCTGCAGAGTGCCACCTCAGCCTCCTTTGTGGTGACTCCCTCCGCGCCCCTCATTAAACTTTCTTATGTAGTTGCCTCCTCTCTTTTAATATTCTGTGCTGCTCTAGACTGAATACAAAGTTTCCACTCAATCAGTATCTTTATTGATTTTTTATTATTAAATTTCTGCCTGGTTATGACGATGAACTGGGAAGGCTCAATTACGATTCACACACTTCCACAGAACTTTTCTAAAACCTCACACCCTGGGTAACTGAAATGTAGCTTATTAATTGATCCCAACCATTTTGTGAATTGTCAGGGTTGTCTATAGGCCATAATTGTGATGGGGCAATTGTAAGGCCCCCACAGTTTTCATTTGAGGTTTTTGTTGGAATAGAGATTGGTTTAGTTTTATTGGAGATGTCATATGGAGAGGGCTCTCCTTGGCTGGGAAATGCGTTCTCTACCTGCAGGAGCTCAGGCTGTAGATGGGGGTATGAGCTGCTGCCCAGGGAGGTCTCTCACTCACAAGAACTTCAGAAGACAGGCTCGCGGCTCTAGATAGCATTGGTTCATTTCTGGGCATTGGAGCTAATTTTGAGTTGATTCAACTAAATGCTAAAAATACTGTGGCAGAACAGAGCCGACCAAATCAGTCTGAGAAAAATAAATCCCCAAATAAGTGGGGAGCTGCGCTAGCAGACAAGGGCTGAAACACATGGGCTCACTCAAAGTTGGTGCAGCCAGCCAAAGTAGACGCCGGCCCTGCTCCCTGTCGCGTCCCCAGGTGCGCCAGAGCCGGCTTTTCGCGGACAGGCTGTCCCCAGGTCCCGGCGCTGTGGCTCCGCCCTGCGGCTCCCCCACTCCCACCCCTAGAGGGCGCCCCCTCCTACCGCCCTGGGAGGTTTCCAACCCGGCAGGCCATGCCCAAGCCTGCCAGTACATTGAGGTCATTGCGCTCTCTGTCAAAGACTGGCCCGAGTTCATTTTCCCCAGCTGTCTGAGACTCATGGAAAACGTGAGTTTGGCGTAATTCTAGGTCCCGCCTAGCTCTGCTTTGCATCTGCCTTTCCTTTGTTTGTTTGCTTCTTCCTCACCTTCTTGCCCCAGGCTTCTCTTTCCCTGGCTTTCCCGGGCTGGAATCACATCTGTTTCCCCAGCTCTGCCCCTGCCATGTAGAGCAGAGAGGAAGGCCTGGAGGCTCAGCAGGCAGGGAGGGATCTTCCCTCAGACTGATTCTGGGGCTGGACCAGAACCCAGCTCCCCAAGATGGGACACTTCGGCCTGGCTCCGAGGAGCGTGGGCATTTGTTATGTCCATGTCCATTGCTGCCCTTTTCTCCACACTAACCCTTCCTTCTTTCTTCCCTTCTCTCCACTGCTGTCTCTTTCTTGCTTCCGGTAGCGATGTGTTGTACCAGCAGCTCTCTGCTGCCTGCACTCTTCCTTAATCTACCTCAGCCGAGAGGTTCACGATGTAGACACAAGCAGCTGGCAGGTGACTTGGAAAGCACACGCGTCTGCTAAACACTCCTCAGACCTGAGCTTCAAATTTAAGTTCATTTCCTGCAAACCAGCTCTGATGACCTGACCACTCTTCAGAAAGCGGATCAAGTACAAAGACTTGGAAATTCCAGGATCAGAGAATGTTACTTATACACGACATGAGGAAAATACTGATAGACAGGGAGGCAAGCAGAATAAACTGGTCTCCCGGTTGTCTTTGGGCTTATAAAATTTTGACTTTCAGATTCCAAACTCTAAGATGCATAGCAAAAACAGCCTGACCATAGTCGTAGCCTAAATAAAGCCAAAGACAAAGTAAAGCTGGCATGTCTTGGAGGGGCTCCACATTTGAGAGTTCTGACTGCCTCAACTTAAGACAGATAGCCTTTCTCTAGGATGAACCACTCCTAGTGTCTGTTTGCTTAGATGTAAGAATAAACAGAGTATCTCTGAGAGTAAACGCTAGAGTCTGAATGTGTGAGTCAGAGAAGAGGCAGGGATATATCTCAGTGGGGAAATGTTTGCCTAACATTTGTGAGACACTAGCACAAGGAAGAAAAAAAAAATGAAGAAAAGAAATAAAAGAACATGAATTTTTTGTTTTAAAAGAGAAGGACAGAACCAGATGTGGTGGCACATGCCTATAATGCTAGCTCTGAGGAGGCTGAGACAGGAGGATCACTGAGTGCCTAGGCTATATAGTGAAAGATGGGCAGCCTGAACTACATAGTGAGATTCTGTCTCAGAATAAAAATTCATTACTGTGTTCTGATCAGTTTTATACCATTTGTTTTGTATGAATTCATTGTGTGTGAAGATACAACTATTTAGAAGAAAACAAAATACATTATGGTAGCCACTGTATATCTCCTGTTGTCTTGCTTTGAAATCTGTGTCACAATGTTTTGCTTCTGATCTGCTTTGTTATGTTTAGTTTTACCCTTTAAAAAAAAAAGAAATATTGCCATGTGTGATGGCACATTCCTGTGATCTCAGAACCCAGGGAGAGTTGGGTGTACATACCTGTAATCCAAGTGCTTGGGAACCTGAGGCAGGTGGATTACTGTGATTCTGAGACCAGCCTGAACTACAAAGGAAGCTCAAGGGCAGACTGACCTGCATAGTGGGACCCTGTTTGAAAAAGTCAATCAATGAATCAATCAATCAATCAATCAGTAAATAAATCTCGCAGGTAAAGATAGCTGATAGATAACAGCAGGCTACAGAGGCTCCCTGAGATGGTCAACTTAGATTCCAAAAATAATACAGCATGGGGAGTCATGAACAGAGGGAGATGGATTCTCCAGACTCAGGAACAAACTAAGCTGAGAGAAACCAATTAAACGTACAGTCCCAGTGCTACTATTGGAACAGCTAAAGGCTTGGTGCTCCTGGTACAGTGCTTGAACTAGCGCAGCCGAGAGTTACTGAGCTACCCAAAAGCCCGTCACTTCAACTCACTAGAGATGCACTCACACTGAGGTCGGGGATCTATGAGCCTAACAGAGAGCTCAGCTAGTGGGGAACCTGCATCGACCTGCGGTGAGTGACGGGAATAAAACCAATCCACAGAAAGAGGGGCTCCAACAGATGACATTCTGGGGCCAGCCAGACTGGCAAGAACAAGGAGCAGCAGTGACTTCCATCAGCTGCTCCTTTCTCAAGTGGGATTGGTGGGCTGTGCTTGGCCTGGGTCATACCTGGGGCTAAGACCCAATAGCGTAGCCCAAACCAATTCCCTACACCCAGCAGTGCACCCTAATGCAGTGAAGCCCTCAGCAGGTTGACTGACCCAAAGGGGAGGACCCAGCATACAATGCTCCTGTTTATACCTTCACAGTACATTGCAGTGGGTGGGACCACCTAGTCAGCATGCTTCAGACAAACTGTGACCAACAAAGAAAGAAACTGGGGTCTCCTATATACAATTGTATGTAAGGAACAAAAAATATGAGAAGAGGAAGCAACAAGAAAGGATCCCCAGCCCCCAACCCTGAGAACACTGATCCAGGAAAGGTAAATGCAAAGGAGATTGAGGACGGCAAACATGCAACATCAGACAGGGCACCAGTGGACATAAAGCATTATCTTCGGGACCTCATAGATGAGTTCAAAAGTGAAATACTTAACCAAGTAACACAAGATATAAATAGATTAATAAAAGACATGCTAAGCACCTCTCAAGAAGACACAGATGGAAGAATGGAGGAACACAAAGGGGAGGGTCGTTTGATGAAGAATATAAAGAAAACACAGAATACATGAAGCAGGTTCAAAGAGATTATCAGGAAATTAAACACTCCATTAAAGCTGGCAAAACTGCTTGAAAGAAACTGATAGATTATCCAAACTGGAGGACAGGTTTGCAATGTGGGACCATGAAAAGAAAAATTTCTTAAAAATAACAAGGAAACAAGCAGTAACAATACAAAGGCTAAAAGATGACAAGAAGATCTATAACTTAAGAATAAAGAATGTGAATGAAGAAGCAGAGGTACAAACAAAAGAACTACAAAGGCTATTCACAGACATAATTAAGGAAAACTTCCCAAACATAGGAAAAGGAAATGATATTCAGATGTATGCAGCATACAGAACTCCAGTGACCTATAACCAAAACAGAACTACACTCAGGCATAGGATAATCAAGATTCCAGAAATCCAATATAAGAACAGAATATTAAAAGCTATCAGAGACAAGAAACAGATTACTTACAAGGGAAAGCCCATCAGAATTACAGCAGATTTCTTGGCACAAACCATGAAAATTGAGAAGAGAAGAAAATAACCTCCAGCCCAGATTCATGTACCCTGAAAAACTGCCTCTAGAAATTAATGGAGAAACAAAATGCTTCCAAGATAAAGAGGAACTGGGGGAATTCACAACCACTAATCCAACTCTACAGAGAATACTGTAGGACATTCTAAAGAGAGAGAGAAGTACCAGAATCTCAGGATTAGTGGCAGAGAGGCCTCAATGAATGGAGCAGAAAGTGAAATGAAGAAGGCAAACAGGCAACTAATGACTGAAAAAGAGCACAATGGAAATGAGCCAGAGAAGGTTGGATATAATTTCTAATATAGATGGCCTAGATACACTAAATTAAGGAAAAAAAGAATCACAGGCAGAGTGGACCAAGAGGTAGGGTCCACTGAGTTGCTCTTTATAGGAAATATAATTAACCTGAAGAAGGATATATGGACCGAAAATCAAATATGAGAAAACAGTATTCTATGAGATAGGGAAGCAGAGAGTAACAGGGGCAACTGGACCAGTATTTATGGATAGGTTGGAAAGACAGGCTTTAATAGGTAAAGAAATACAACTAGAGATGAAGTCTAGGAGGGAGAAAGTTCGGAATCACTTAGGTAAATAGCAGTTTGCCCCCCCCCCCCAATATAAAACCATGGGTCTTGGGGAGACCCAAAAATGCACAGTACAGCCTGGGGGAGGGAAAGGGGATGAATAGTCTTAAAAAAGACAGCAGAAGATATTGCTAATAGTGTATCAGGAATTAAAACCCATATTACTCACACCACTCTGCTTAGATAGAACTTATTCTGTTCCAGTTTGTATATAAGTACTAGATCTGAGGGCACAGACAGCTATCCCCAAAATATCAGGATACAACACAGTAATCATCTTTAATTTCCTATTAACTTAATATACATCCCTGTGTAACTTATACTGCTATATCATGACTGATCTTAGTTAAATCTGATGTGTTTGATTGTTGTTTTTGACAAATTTTATTCAAAACTGTTCAGGTTGATAGTATCAAGTCTGAGAGTATAGACAACTATACTGAAAATGACAATGAATCAGTATGATACCCATTCTGGTTTGATTACTACCTGTTTTTGTAGTTCTACGCTATCTACAAAGTTGTATTTCTATTAATACTATTATATACTGATATATTCAATTATACTATAACTGATGATATAGCCAATTCTATGGATGATAACAAGAGAGACAACACAGTAACCATGGTAGAACTCCTTGTATAGCAGTTTTATATGTCTTTTTAGTTTTAGGTATCTATAGGAACATGTTTTGTTCTGTCCTGCTTTGTTCTGTTTCTCCCTCTAATATAGATAGGATAGAAATACATGTTAAGACTCATGCTTGCATAAAACCTATAAGCAGTTTATGAAAACTGATCTTATGACATGTGATGAAATGAACCAATAATTTGAAGGAAAAAAGACACTACAGTACCCAGTGCTGATTCCGGAGTGTCATGATATGAAATCCAGAAATACTATTATTCTTTGTTCAGAGTGATTTTAGTCTGCTTTGGTTTGCTTAATCTCAACATAAATGAAGATATGGATAAATGTATGTATGTTTTAGTGTATAGGATAGATACCCATATTACTACGTTTTTATTAGATAGTTGAACAGAACTATTTGTAGTCTTGCTGTTTGAATTCACATTTATATGTTACACTTTTGTACCTTGAACAATTATTTGTAAGAGGACAATATGTAAACATCAACTAGTGATTTATTAGTTTATTTTTTTCTTTGAAAGTATGTATTATTTCTACCTGTTTTCTGTTTTGTCTTTCTTTAAATAAAATTTTAAAAAATAAACATAAAAAATGTAAAAACTTTTAAAAAGGAGATTGCAAATTTGAACCAGCTTTAGGCAATTAGAGACTTTGTGAGACTCTATCTTAAAAACTTAAAAAAGAAGGGCTAGGGATTTAGCTCAGCAGCATAAGCACCTGCCTTGCAAGCAGGCAGTCATGAGTTCAATCCCCAGTACCGATAAAAAGGAAAAAGACAAAAACAAAACAAAACAAAAAAAAAAAAAAACAAAAACAAACTCGAGTGAGGGTGGGAAATTTCATTCATTCATTTACTTATTTATGCTGGGCGATCACTGAACTGCACTCCTAGGTCTCAGGAAGCACTATTCTATCCATGTAACAGTGGAAAAAGTAAAACGCAGAGACAGTAAGCAGTTATCTTGGTACTACAGTGAACTTGTGCACAACTGGACAGAACTGGTTGTTTCAACTCCGGAGGGACCTTTTCCTTCTGAAGAAGGAAACTCCACCCTGCCTGAAGGCTTTTTACATAATCCTACTTTGTCTCTTTATTTCTCCCAGGCCTTGGGAATTAGAGGACTCAGCACAGCATTATGGAACTCGCTAATGGGTGACAAAAGCATTTAGTGGGTCAGGATTTTTTAATAAATGAAATTACAACTAAAATATATATCAGAATGTGTTGCACAAAAGCAAAGTATTATTTTATAAAATTTGTTTCAGTTTCATGCATTTGCTTGTGGGGCCCAATTATTATTATTGATATTATTATGAGACAGTCTTGCTATATAGTTCAGGCTGACTTTGAACTCACCATGTAGCCCATGCTGGCCTTGAACTTGTAGTGATTTTTTTGCCTCAGCCTCCCAAGTACTGGGATTACAGGTTTGTGTCACTGTGCCCCGTGGACCCAATGTAATATGTATTTATTGCTGCAAGTCTGCTACAGTAGATAAACACGAGCCCAATATGGTGGCCTCTGCCTGTAATCCCAGCACTCTGGGAAGCTGAGGCAGGAGGATCACAAATTCAACCCAGCATGAGCAATTTAGTGACTTAATGAAACTCGGTCTCAAAAAATAAAAATGGAGGTGGCTCAGTGTGAAGGTCTTGAAGTCCTGAAAAAACCGAAAAGGATAAAAATGTAGAAACGAAATCTTTTTTTCTGCTGTTAGTTAAAATACCTTGACTTTGTGAACCTAGGTAAGATTTCACCACAGGCGAAACTAAAAATCTGAACTGATTTCTCCAGGTGGGCTAAAAAGACCAGTCCTGTTTTATGAGTTTAGGAGGCTTTTCTAGCA